GCCTGGTTTCGAAGTGGCGAATACATGAGAAAGCCCGCATGTAACCTTGCGTTGATCGGGAGCGGTGCGGAGTCTTCCACGGAGCCTTCCACGGAGCCTGGGCCTGAGTAAGCACCGGCGTTACGGCGGCTAAACCCGGCTGTGGAGCTCCGTGGGCGGCCCCAGATCCGGACAAGACGAAGGGGTCGACGAATACAACCGCCCTCTTATTTGGCAACTGTCTCAAGTCTAGTCACATGTACAATCAATTGGTTATGAGGAGTAATATGCAATGTCATTATTTTATAGTCAAGGGGGCGTAAAAGTCATTATATCCAGTCCTGTCCAACCTGTATTTACGTTCTCCGTGGAACCAACCAAGTGCCCAAAGACACACCTCCAAACCGTCTGGTAGCAAGCATCATGCCCAACTCCGGATATCATCAAACAAGTTTTACGCAACAGACACCTCAAAAGCTCTCTCATCATCGTCCCTGAATGCCCTCATGGCACCCACGGCCTACTCTCCTCAACAACACTCCGCTGCTGCATCACCAACTCCTCATACGTGTCCGGGAGCCGCGGCCACTGCGGCTGCGACCACTCGTCGCCCGCAGGCACGGCAGGATATCCACTCTTCAACGTGAGGACAGCGTCCACCGTCTCCTCGATCTCATCGTCATCCACCTCTGAGTCAGCCTCGTCGAGCGGCGTGCACGCCTGGAACGGCTCCTCGCGCCGCACTGCGTCCACGGCGTCTTTGATGACTTCCTCCCACCAGTCAACCTCGTCCCACGACTGCTGCTCTGCTTCGTCATCAGAGGTATCTTCCGAACCATCCAGCTCTTGGACCTGAACCTGGCCATGGGTGTCCACCTTTTCCAGCTCCTTGAGATCTTGCTCCTCTTCGTCCGTCTCGTCATCGACTTCTAATATGTCCTGCTGCGTCGGTTCGGGGACCCTCTTGCCAGGTTGCATCGCATGCACCGCCTCGATCGGCAACCCCGTGATGATAGAGACAGCCGTCTCGATCCCCCTCTTGACAGCAAGCGCGCCGAGCAGTAGCTTCAGCGCATGTTCCCACCGGCCCTGCAGCATAAACATCTTGCCCCGGCACCACTCGTACTTTATGAAATTTCGATGATGGCTCGGCCGGCCCCAGTACTCCCTCTGAAGCTGCGAATACGCAATCAACGCATTCGTCTTGTCGCCCGCCAGCTCGTACAGGTACGCGAGATACTTTAGAATATTCCGTATCTGCGCCTCGTCCTGAAAGTCGTTTGACGCCGCCCTCTCGATCTCGAGACACTTGCGGTACTCGTACGCCGCCTCCTCATGGAGCCCCGCGCACCGCAGCGTATGCGCGAGGTTCAGCCGCGTCTCGAGCGTCTGCTCGACCACGCGCGCGACGTCGCTCGCCTCGCGCCGGCACATGTCGCGCAGGATGACAATCGCCTCGTCCCACCTCCTCAGAGCCTTGAGCGCCGTGACGTGATCCTCCATGTTACGCAGCGTCACGGTGCTGCAGACCCCAAACCGGGCCCTGTGCTCGTCCAGCACGCGCTGGAACCGTCGGCAGAGACCAATGACCTCGTCGTACTTTTTCAGCCGCAGGCTCGTAAGCCGCGCCAGCTTCAGCGTCCACTCGCCGTTGGCGTAGTGCAGCAGATCGGCGGCCAGGTCCATGTTGCCAATTTCCACGCGGGCCTCCTCGTCTCGGCCCCGCTCTGAGAGACACATTGCAATGTTGTAGTCGATGGCGGCCTTCTCTTCGTGCCCGAATACGGGCACCTCCTCGTTCCAATCCCGCGCGATGCGATACGCGATCTCAGCCTCTTCGTACTTGTCCTGGTTGACGAGCATGCTTGCCAGGTCGCGCTGCGCTTCGATCGTCGTGACGTGGCGTTTTCCCCTCCGCCGCACCAGCGTGGGCACCAGCTCGCGCAGCAGCTTCTCCCCTTCGGCCCAGCGACTCGTGTAGTAGTAGATCTCGCCCAGCTCGACCATGGAGTGCAGGCAAAAGTCGCGCCATGAGCCTGTGAAGAGCGTCCAGCGGAATGATCTGCCCCTACTGCTGCCCGAACCCGACGACCGCCCCTCGCGGCTCTGGCGCAGCAGGCGCTCGGCGAGGTGAGCCAGCTCTTCGGCCTCGGCAATATCGCCCAGGTCCTCGCGGCGCACGAGGGTGTCGCCGAGGAGCAAGACGGCGCGCATGAGGTAGAAGGTCTGGTCCTCACTCGTCGGGAGACCCTCGAGGAGGAGTTTCGCCATGCGCAGGTGGTGCTGGGCCGATATCCAGTCCTCGGGGGTCTGGTTGCGGTAGGCGTGGCCGACGCTCAGCAGGGCGAGGCCTTCGGTCAGCGTCCCCAGGCCTTGGGACTGGCGGAGGGCGAAGGTGCCGAGGCGCAGGGCCATGCGCCATTTCCCGCGGAGCTTGAGGAGCTCTGAGGTGCCGAGGAGGGTGAGGATGGAGGCTTTGTCGGAGGTGCGGCTCACCGCCCCCCATCGCGTAGCCTTGTTCGGGCGCATGGCGGATGGTCTTCTTGGGGGTTTCGGGCTGGCTCACCGCGTCGGGGGGTTTCGCTGTTGGGGGATGTCGCCCCCTCGAAAGAACTTGATCGTGTTTCGCTCTCTGTCGTCGGCGTCGTCGGCGTCGTCGGCGTCGTCGGCGTCGGGGGGGGGTCGCGGGTGTCGTCGGGACAGTGAAGTCTATGGGCTTGAAGCCGAGTAAGTGTCGCAATGGTGAAGCAGACGAATGAAAAAGGTGAGGAATGCGGCCGTTTAGGTGAGAGGTCGGCCAAGTGAGATGAGAGTGAGTCAAAATTTGATGAGCCCGGTGAACGTGTGCAGTGAGCTGAGCGAGCCAGACCAGTGGCTGTCCTCCCTGAGAAGCCAAGTCTGGCCAGTTCCCGAGCCCTTCTTTTTTCCCACTGCACGTCGCTTTGGAGAAAGATTAAAGTGAGTTGAGGCGAGTGAGAAAGTGAGAATGAGATGGTTCGGAGTAAGCCACGCAGAAGACCCCTCCCTCCTTGTGGCCACCACACCTGAGCTGCCTTGGGAACGGGTTGCCGGTTGGAGCTTGTCCTGGTTCCTGATTTTGGATGGGGAGGGTTGCAAGACCGAAACGAGGCGAAAAGAAAGGTGTGGATCGTTGGTGGTGAGAAAGAAACGGCGAGGCGGCGGCGGACAGAGCTTGAGCTTGGAGTAAAGCTAGGCTTACTCGCTGCAGCCCGGAACCCAAACAAGTCGAGGTAAGGTGATCGATCTCCCTTTTGGCCCTTTTTTTTTTTGCCTTCGTCTACATGCACACTACCTACCTTAGCTGCCACGGTGCTTAGGCTTCGGAGGTTGCCAGTGGTCGCGAACCATGGGACACAAGTCACAGAGGAAGTTGGAGGGAACATGAAGGGGGGCTGGACCGCGTGCATGTGGCCATGCGACCACTCAGGGCGAAGCACTTGTCCTGCAGATCCAGGACGTGCCAGTGTGCGTGCTTCAGGACGAAGCCATCTGACGCCCAATCATCAACAGGACCCGGCGGTAAGACCGGCAGTCAGAATTTCAGAAAAAGGGTCCGAAAGGGATGATGGACCGTGGAGAGGTCCAGGCCGGCGTCGTTTCCGATCGTCGAGCGGAGGGCGGGATGAAGTAAGGTCACCATTCAACCAAGCAATAGCCGAGTCCCGACAAGGAAGAGAGCTTGACAAAAGTATCAATGAGACAGACTATCTTATGGCCCTGATCAGAGGCTGGATTGGGCGAGACATGGTGGTTGGCATGGGACAAAGTTGGGACCAAAGGTTGGGTGGCGGGGGCAAAGTTGACAAACACAGCATGGACAGCGTAAACAGCATGGATCCATGGAAGCTTTCAGGCATTCCGCGCCAGACGAGCTCCCTGTTATGATACCTGGGCGCCAAAAGTATTGGCACTGGACCCTTTTACCGCAAGGTACAATGTAAGGGAAGATCAACTTGTTGACCATATTATCTAAGCAGACACAAGCATCCAGGGACATGACAAACGGCGCTATTAGAGACCAAAGCGCCCCGAGCCATGCCCCAACGAGATTCGGGTTGCTGCTCTGGTCTCTCCCTGCAGTGTTGCTGAGAAACGTATGGGGCCTAAGTTGAGCTGTGCTGTGGATAGCTGGAATATTGGAACAACAACATATTGTATAGTGAAAGCAAGGCTTCCAAGAACAGATGATCACAAATGATCACAGACGGAGAGACATTGAATAAGAAAAGAAAGTCCAGCACTTAAAGAACGTTTGCTTGTTCGACCACGCGATTTTCCGCTCACTCTCCAACAGCCAACTGAGCGTCGCATTCCAGAAGGAACGAAACCTGAAACAGGCCGTCAACGGGCCCTGTTGGTAGTGAGACTGTGCGCAATTCCCGCTCAAACCACTCCAAGACCTATCCAGATTCCAGAAACATTTCCTTCATCTTTCCTCTTACCCCAGACTTCGGAATAGCTTTGGAGTAGATGAACAAACAGATACAACCGATAGCCGCTTTAAGACTGTTGTTGACATGCTTCTAGGCTGTCCCAAGACTTTGGCTGATTGTGACGTTGACGTTCCAGTCGGTAGCTTTAGTACCTTAGTTTACGCGCGCCCTACGCTACGACCAGGCCATTGTCCCCAACTTGAAAGTTATGCAGCGCACGTTGGCGGTCTGTCTATCCGTATAGGCCATCAGAGAACTCCAGTACGTCATTGTCCATCTTGACTCAGGGACTCGAAGGATTGTCTGCAGTCTTCCCGTGCCCATGTCCGGCCCTCCGCGCCTGCATTTACGGACTTCGGTCCCCGAGACGCACACTAGGCCGGAGGATTACATCGGACGACTCCGTCAACGTGGATTTCCCCTTGGCGTGCAGGTAATCGATGGGGAGTCTACTATTCTCCGTGGGTAGGTAGGTAGGTAGGTGCTAAGGCAGGCTTCAGTAGCCATGTTTTTTTGTCGAGTTCCGTGAGCACGGTGATGATGAAAATTGAAGCAGATTCTATGTCTATTAAATATTGCGATTAAGTCTGTAGCGATCTGAAATGCCCTGCAAAGCGCAGCAAGAAAACCTCTAGCGCCAACCCTGGATCTAACAATGTTCCTCCTCTCTAATAACTTGGAAATGTACATTCCGTCCAGTTTCTACCACAAAAGAAACACTAGTCACGCCACAACTACTCCTTCTTGACCTTCTTGTTCTTAGGCATGCGCACCAGCCAGTACACGAGCGCAGCCACGACAATGTTGAAGATGCAGTACGCCCACATCAGCCCAAAGTTCCTCCATCGGTGGTCAAAGTCGACATTGATCCCCTTCAAAAACGTGTTGGTATCTGACACGGCGCAGTACTGGCACTCCTCGGCCCCGTTGACGGCATCCGGGTTTGAGAGGTAGCCGCCGGCAGCGGAGATGTAGTCGGACATGTACTGGCCGCACGTCTGCCCGCTCGGCGCCGCAAAAGAGACGAACTCGTTGGAGGCGCAGTGCACCGCGGCGTTGGCAAGCGATGTGCCCAGGAAGCCTTCCACCACGTAGGTGAAGGGGTTGACGCGGTACATGAAGATCCAAAAACCTGGAAGGTCGTTTGGCCCGGCAAGAATTCTGGTGAATGAGTTGTTAGCTATCGGATATCATGGAAATGGTGAGTAGATATAGGCAGGGCTTCTCCAGTATTGCTGGACAACGCGCTTCGTGACCTCCATGAACTGCGTACTAAAGCCGGCGGCAAACTCCTTGTAAGTAGACTGGTCTTGACCATCAGCCAGGGCAGGTCGCGCAGGACCACCCGAGCACAATCTGGTCAGCTCATACTGAACAGACTGGTACTCGGGTGTTTGACGCCAGACGGCGGGCCAGTCAATGTCGGTATGAGCACCGGGCGCGGCACCGATGACCTCGAGCATGTACTCTGCGGGATTCGCGCCAGGCGGGCACTCCAGCCCACCGTTGCGGACAAAGTAATCAACCAACGTCTGCGAATTCTTGCCAATCTCTCTAAAGTAAACGGTACGGCCACCACGGGCGAGCAGAATCAGCCTGTCGAAACGCTGGAACAGCATCGCCGAGGGCTGATGGATGGTGCACAAGATAGCCTGGCCGCTCTTGGTAAGCTTCTCCATGAGGTTGCAAATCGACCACGAGGTCTGGCTATCGAGACCGGAAGTAGGCTCGTCGAGGAGTAAGAGGAGCTGCGGGCGAGCGGCAAATTCGACGTCAATGGTGAGACGCTTCCTCTGCTCGACGTTGAGGCCTTCGCCGGGCACGCCGATGACAGCGTCGGAGTATTCTTCCATACCGAGGAGGCCGATGACGGTGTCGACGTACTCGAGCTTTTCCTTGCGGGTGTAGTTGGCTGGCTGGCGGAGGAGGGCGCTGAAGTTGAGGGCTTCGCGGACGGTGGAGGTATGGAGGTGGAGATCTTGTTGTTGGACGTAGCCCGTTTTTCGCTGGAAGGAGTCGTCACGGGGTTGGCCGTTGACTAGCATGTCGCCGGAGATGACGCCCACTGTTACGCGGGTCGCGAGGACATCGAGCAAGGTGGTCTTGCCAGCTCCAGAAACGCCCTGTTGGTGATGTTAGCCGCCGTCTTCTTGAAAGTTGGAATCATACGCTAGGTCACAAAACTTACCATAAGTGCAGTCAGAGTTCCAGGCTTAACCCGGCCGTCTACGTGGTCCAGAATCCGTCGAGGCTCGCCCTTGATCTTGATATCGTAGCAGACATCCTTCCAGTGGAAGACCGAAGTCTGCTTCTCCATGCCCGCAACACCCTCAGAGTCATCCTCGCTTCTCTGCTGCGCACCGGCGGCGGGATGCGAGGAACTTTTGGTAGTGCTCGCCACCAAAGGGGTGACGCTGGAGGTAGTCTTCGACGTCTTCGAGGAGGCGGGCGCGGTGCTGGCTTGCTTTCCAGGCGCGGGCAAAGTCGTCGGGGCTGCGCGGCGTCTTGCCCTCCCAGCCGGGGCGGATGACGCGCTCCTGGTGGCTGGTCATTGAGGTGAGGAAGTCGGCTGTTGTTTGTTGCTCTGGGCAGATGAAGCCTAAGCCCTCGAAGTAGGCTTGGGCTTCGGTTGTCTTGCCGAAGTAAATTTGGCGGCCTTCATATAGGACGACGACCTTGTCAAAGACCTTGGGGTTTGTTAGTCTGAATGCTTAGTTTCCCATAATCAAGCTCAATGACTTACATCGTAGGCATCTTGGGAAGCTTGATAGATGGCAACGCACGACGTGCAGCCCATAGTATCAGCTTGCGTTCTCAAAGTGCGGCAGAACTCGAGGGCGTTGGCGCTGTCAAGACCTCTCGTGCTGTTATCCCAGCACTGCAGCGGCGAATAACTCAAAGCAGCCTCCGCGATGGTGACTCGCTTCCTCTCTCCTCCTGAGACTCCACGAACGAAGTCGTCTCCAACCCGGGTGTTCTTCGTATGGTGGATGCCAAACATGGCCATAGTCACATCGCGGAGGTGCTCGACGTACTCCCGTCTGGATATGCCCTCGGGGATGTTCTTCGGGCATCTGGCACGGGCTGCAAAGTACAAGGTGTCTCCAACAGTCAAATGGGCAAAATGCTCGTCGACCTCGGCGGTGTAAATGGCCTCGCCCCTGAAAGCAGTGCGCATATCCTTGGGCTGGATGCCCTGATAGTTGATGGTTGCGTCGTCGCTGATGTAGAATCCGTGCGTGTCACCGGCGATCGTCTTAAGCAGGGTCGAACAACCGGACCCGGGCGGGGGCCGAGAACGGCAAGCATCTCGCCGCTGTGGACGACGCCCTCGAGGTCGTGGAGGATATCAATGCGTTGCTCTTTTGCACCCGTGAGCTTCTTCACCAAGCTCGCCGCCTCGAGGAAGACGTTGCCAACGCTCTTCTGGTAGTCGGTGGATGTGCCATAGCCAAAGACATTGAGGTTCTTGAAGGCGATTCCCGTTGTCTTTGGTGGGTTGCCCTCCGAGGTATCGGTACGGATGTTGTAGAACGCCTTTGCCCACTTTCTTGCGTTGAAGTCGGGGCTGCTGGGGTTCAAAGGGCCTTCGGCGGGGACTGGGAAGAGAGAACCAGGGGCGGCGTTCGATTGCGTCGTGTATCTGCGGGCGAGCTGCAGAACCTCGTCGTTCATTCGAGTTTCCTGATCAGCAGCATCTTCATGCTTCGTCCATTCTTTCTCGGTGGTCGTGCCAGCTGAATAAGACCCAGAGCTCGGCGGAAGAGCCTTCTTCTCGTTGGTCGATGGAGGTGGCAGAGTGCCACTATCCGTGTCGCTATCAGACCGCATTGTCGCTTTGACGGTCACTCAGACCAGACGACGAAAATAACCAAAAAGTTGTCAAGTTTGAGGCGGTGATAGTTGGTGTAAGTGGAAAATATTAGGAAGATGGAATCTAAGAAATGGGATGAGTTGACTGAAACGGAAGTTGGAAAACATCATGCCATCTCAACTTCGAGACGTCGATGAGAGTCCGAATGTCCGCGATTAGGGGTTTCTTCAGCCCTATGGCGCTCAGTTGAGACGTGGTTTCGAACTTTGCCAAGACTTCTGTTAGGGTCGACAAGCCTCGATCGAGCTTTTACTTCTTTATAACCTGATCTACTAGCCACGTCCTCGCCAAGCTTAAGAAGCTTAAACAAAGGAACTTGCCGCGGACTAAGACGCATAAACCGTGCCCAGCTGGAAGCAGCTGGGAAGAACCTTTGATTGAACTGAATACGAAGAGAGACAAGCCGGAAGAACTGTTGTTGCTGCTCCAGAGAGGGCGTCCGGCGATCTCGGCCCCCCTCAGAACGTGGCCCGCGGCCCCCGCGACTCAGCTCTGTGAGGTTTGTGCTGTGGTGCGTCACGCCGGACAGCTCCAGCAACCCCAAGTAACCCCCTTGCCAAGCAAACCAGACGGCACCTAATTAGACTTTGCGAGCTAAAACCAATTCTTGACCCCCGAAGAATCGAGATCATGATGCATCATAACGGCTCGGGTGGGATCGTCGCGGGCCTGGCATGGTGCATTTGTCCTTCAAAGTCCCCCCCCTCTCTTATTGTAGCACAGCTCGCTGCACCACCAACAAACCGATTTCTCCGTTCTCCGAGATCCCTTTGACCACTTAGGTAATCATGCCTGACCAGTCCGCCCAGTTGAATCCGCTTTCGGTGAGTACAACGGAGGTTGCTATAGCTCCATAGTCCGCTACCTGGTTCCAGATCCTACAGACTTGGCTTTCGGGCAATGGATCCTTCGCCTGTCGTTGTTCATGGCTGACTTGGTTGGCAAACTTCGCTTGAGTAGTGCAAAAGATGCAAACACAGAAAGGTTAGTCGTCGCCGTGTTTCTTTGACCATGTTAGAGGTGGTTGACTGACGTTTCTGTCCACGACATCAGGTCCGGTGTAGTCGTGGGATGCCAACATGCGAAAGATGCAAAACCCACGAGACAGAATGCGTCTATCCTCAAAGAGTCAAGAGAAAGGTCACTCGGACATTGACGGACCGTCTATCGTAAGCCTCCGCCCCCCCTCTTTCCTCCATGTCCCTCCTCCACCCGCGAATCTGCACGAGATTTCCGTAAGAGAATCGTTGGCTCAAGACATAGCCTTGGCGAATCCAGCACGACGGATGACGCCCTGTCGGCCATACTCGAAAGGTTACAGCGCGTCGAGAAGCACTGCACCACCCTCCCGAATGGAAACCAAGATCCGGAATCCCGAGACGGGCCCCCTGCTTCCGTGGCTGCTGATCCGCCCGCCGCCGCCCCGCCGCTCCGACAACGTACTTCAAGCTCCAACAGCGCCCCATCCAACCTATCCTCTCCCGCTCCCTCGAATGTTGCCGGTGGGCAGGCAACTTCGCCGTGGACGTCATTTGCCACGCCGAGTGCGATTCCTGAACTCGATGTCGCGGCTATTCTCAAGGATGCCGTTGATCAAGTGCAACGATTGAGATTGCAGACTGTGTCTGCTTCGGTCATCACTCAGAATGTCAAGATCCCTCCTGAGTTGGCCAAGCAATGGATCAAAAGTGAGTCTTCTCTTTCTCTCCCAGTCAAAGAAGATGTGGTCATGGAACAAAGTCTATCGGTTTTCTTCTAACGCCACTGCTAGACTACTTCACGCACATGCATACAGACATGTTCCTCAGTCTTGTGAACCCAAAACTCATAGAGATGATTCCGGACCTTCTTGGCATACCGCACGTCCATCTCGATCCAGCTATTCTTGTAGTGTACTATGGAGTCCTGTATCACGGCTGTGGTCTAGGCCCGACGATGCGGGAAATCGATGAAGGCCTAAGGTACATCCGGACGCTCTACATATGCTGTCTTCGAACTCTACCACTTTGGCAACGTGAGGCAACAGGGTCCACGACCGACCTTATTGCCGCTCTCACCATGGTAGGCAGCGCTCTCTCGCTCCAATCTAAGAAGCCTGTCCCAGACTAACCGTCATTCCGAGACAACAGTGCCGCACCGCAGCCGAGTGCTTCGATGAAGAACTGGCTTGGAGAATGTACACCTACGCTTGCGAGTACGCGCAAGCACTCAACCTGCACAATCTCGATGCCTACATGGCGGCGATCGGCCAGGACGAGAGCAAACTCGATGCCGATCGGAAGGGCTTCTGGGAGTTGATCCAAATTGACTTCTTCTTCAGGTTGCTGTTCAACCGCCCGCCAGCCATCACAGACAGCATGAATACGTGGAAGGTCAACTTACCTTGGCTATCGTCGGGTAGCGCGCCGCCGGACCTCAATGCCGTCCCGACGGTGACGTTCCTGATGGGCTCAAGACTTACGTTCATTTTGTCGCACTTCTTCCAGGATCTTGAGTCACCGGATTGCAACGAGGAGACCATTCGGCCCAAAGCTGAGGAGTACTGTCGAGAAATTGGCCAGCTCTTTGATGAATACCAAATCGTATGACTCCTTTCGGAATATGATTATTGTAGGCTTACTGATCCCTCAAACAGGAAGACTGGATCCAAAGAACAGTAGCAACAGGCGCAAAAACCGACGGCTGGTTGCTCGGCGACGTAGCCATGACCGGTTACACCTACATCATCTTCATCCTGCGCAAGCTCGCCGTCCTCACCTCCAATTCGCCGCGCCCCGTGTCCTGCGATGCCGATATCCCCGACTCCCCACTAGCCGTCGAGGCCTCGAGGGGCATGCTCAGAGTCGTGCGGGCCATCCTTGAGCATAACCCATATCCTGAAACCATGTGTGTGATACTAGGCATCTACCGCGCCTACGTCTCGTACGCTTGCCTCCTGGACCAGGTTCTGCGGGCCGTCGACGTAAGGAGCCACTACGACGACATTGAGCTGTTGGAAGGGATTGGCGAGGTGATGCTCAAGGGGTCCAGAGACGATCGGGACTTTGTGCCGTTGTTGAGGGCTATACAGAGTCTTGGCATGGAGGTCAAGAGGAGGCTGAATGATGTTGCGGCTACGGGTTCAGTTGCGAATGCTTTGACTCCGGTGATGAGTACAGGGGTTGAGTCTCTGGGGGTTGGCGCTGGATGTTGATGGGGAGACTGCCTCCATGTTCGCGTTCGGATGGGTGTCAAAACGATATGACTGAACTTGTTGGCTCGCCGTAGTGCAGAGCTTTTGCTTTTGTAAGTTGTATGGATTGGGCCGGTCGCGTTGAGATGATGATTATGTGATAAAAGTACTACGTAATACTTTGCGAGGAATTGACTGTTGCGATGAGATTATAACGGCTGAAAAATTTAATGTGTTCCGAGTGCCTTATATCCATCAGTGGCTAGCAGAAAAGACCATTCGTGACGAACTAAGAGAAGGCAAGACATTCGCCGAGCCTATTTTCATTGTCACGTGTCTAGAAACTTGCCATATAAAAGATAAGATTCATGACCTCGGCTCATTCCTTCGACTTCCACATGGTGTGCCACAATAATTCCAGCATTTGCGACGAGTGGCCTGGCTGTAAACTTTTCGCCATAAACACAGACAGCAAAGGCAAGTTTGATTACATCGTGAAATAATCAAGTAACGTGAATGATAAGCGAGTGAGACAGACAAGTGAGTGAGACACAAAACTGCGCCGATGAGATAAACTGGCTTCCATATCAACATCAACAGCATCAATTCAATTCAAACTACTCATAATCCTCATCTTCAGACATCTCTTCAATAAACTGGCACGTTCGTGAATTGTGTCCCGGGTAACCACAAACGCCACACCGTCGCTGACCTGTCTCGGCCCTCAGTTTGCGACCACTAGTACGACGCATTTCCTCCTGAACCTGCGCAGTCACATCTTTCTGTGACTGTATATCTGCTGCGTCAGCTACAGTAAGACTTCCTCCATGTTGTAGGCGTGTTTTCTTAGTTCTCCGTCGTCGACTGAGTTGGTTATTCTCGTCTCTAAGAATCTGTACCTCAGATCTAAGTAAGGCTACTTGGTGCATGATGCCTCTTGTACCTTTAGAAAGTCGTTCAACAGCCTCGCAAATAGAGGTTGGGGAGCTGTTTTGGTGACGAGTGATCCGACTCTTAATAAAGTTGGATTGAGAGCTTGCCTCTACTGGGTTGTTTGGTGTCCTTGAAACCCAAGGCGGAGGTGTCTGTGGTAGTGATGCTGGAGGCGTTGGAGTGTGTAGCCGGATATCCAGCTTTGATAGGACGCTTTCTGCACTCAGAGGAACAAGCCCAGCTCCTCTAAAACCCCCTTGGATGTTTTTTTCAGTCATCGCTTGACTAAATGCGCTGCGATATGCAGGAAAGAAGTCCTCCTTTGAGATGTGGGTTACGCCCCGCCGCATCTTATCCTCAATTTGTTGCCCATACGCCGTCTTTAGCGGACCAAAGCACCCAACGTCAAGGGGCTGGAGTAGATGAGACGAATGAGGCGGCATACAAAGTGTAACGATCTTGTTTGCCTTGCAATATAGCTCAAAGTCTGTTGAGTGGTGACTTTCGTGCCCGTCGACGACGAGGAGGCGATATTGGCCTCTCAAACGTGGTTTCGTATGACGATCATAGTGCTGGATCCAATCTAGGCCTTTTTCATTTGTTGTCCATCCGTTTTCTGACGTCGCAATGACCCAGTCGTCCGGGAAACCTGACTCTGTATACCAGGTTGAGAGGTGATATTGGCCTGCAACGATGATGTACGGCGGGACGTTATAGCCTTGCGAGTTGATGGCTTGAATCACTGTAACCCATTCTCGATTACCAGGCTGTGCCATTTTTGTGTTTGAACGCCTTTCAGTACTTGTGACAACCATGCCAGATGCAATCTGGCCCATCATAAAGCCAGTCTCATCAAAGTTGTAGATATCAAACTCATCGATACCATACTTCGCGATTGTGTTCTTCACAAGAGCGAACCAGCCGCGAATAGCCTCTGCATCCTCGCATTGGGCCCTCTTGTAGTCGTACCTCCGAAAAAACCGCGTCCGCAATTGTGGTTGTCGTTTGACGAAGTTTAAGGCCCAGCGCTTCCCAACCGGAGGCGCGTCGCGATCAGCAAGCAGTCGATCAGCCATTTCTTCCACACCACGGATCCGGGGAGGGAATGATCGGGCATCTAGATCGAGAATGTGATCAACTAACGTCTGCTCTTCTAGCAAAGTAAGATTCCTCGAGTTCGGTATCCTGTCGCTTCGAGATGTAGAGCCCTTCAATCGTCGACTCAATGTTGCATGGCTGACCGAGTAGATCGTAGCTGCAGCCCGTGCACTAAGCTCTGGATTGATTCTGATAGCTTGAAGGGCCAGCTGTATGCCTGACTCATTACTTCTGGATGCCATGATGTGTTGTGGAAGAAACGTCTCCATTTGTGTTGAAGCATCATCGGCGCAGTTTTGTGTCTCACTCGCTTGTCTGTCTCACTCGCTTATCATTCACGTTATTGATGTATTCAATTACGCTTCAGCATTAATCATTACCATTCGATAATATCTATGACAACAACGGATCCTCCCTCAGCGTGTGCTCATATACGCTCTCCAACAAGTCTACTCGCTGTTGACTTCTGGGCTGCAGGTCGAAATCAAACTCTTTTGGCTGCACATTGAAACCCGCAGCAAAGTCATACAGTGGCGGTATGATCTCTTTCCCATTACCATCCGTAGCCCGGGAAATGTTACAAGCCCAAGCAAGCAGTGCGATCTTGAGGTTGAGACTCCGCTCAGCAATATTGATCCCCTGACAAATCCGGCGGCCGTGGCCAAACGCCGTGAACTGCTGCAGGTTTGGATAGACGGTGAGAGGTTCCTTGTATGTCGGGTACTTGGGATCCAGCCAGCGGTCGGGGTTAAATGCTTCAGGATCGGGATAAGTTTCAGGGTCGCGTTGGATAGCCCATTGCACTGCATGCACCACGGTACCCTTCTTCAAGTAATACCCGTTGTAAGTGTCGTCTTCCGTTAGACGGTGAGGGAAACCGCCGGCCGTGATCGGGTAGTACCGCAGCGTTTCCTTTACGCACGCCCTCACAAGCGGAAGCCGAGGCATATCCTCAAAAGTAGGCAACCTGTCCGGTCCAACAACAGAGTCGACCTCAGCCTGAAGCCTCTCAAACCACCCGGGATTCCGCACAACGCAGAGGATAAACGACGCAAGGGCCGACCCAGACGTTGTGCCCGCAGCCTGAAAGACAGATCCTAGCATCCAATTTGCCTCCCGCCGTGTGAGCCCCCACTGGTCTTGAGTTTCCCGCCACGTCCGCGCCCAGGACGGCGATTTGCTACGGTCGATGAGTTCCTGGAAGAAATCCTCGTCGCGGCGCCTCCTGGCTCGGAGGTACTTCTTCCAGGGCGCCAGCCACTCTGGCAGATACTTCAGTAACGGGAAGATGTCGACGAGGTATGCGCCGGGCGAGCCCACGCGCTCCAGCTCGTGGACGATGTCAAGCAACATCCGCACCTCGCGGTCGTGGCCGGTCTCCGCGCGCAGGCCGTAGATGATCCGCATGCCCAGCCCGACGCTGAACCGCTCAAAGAGGACTTCGTAGCCGCGCGGCTTGCGGATCAGATCGCGGATCAGTCGTACCGCCTCGATGCGCTGCTCCGTTTCATACTGCGGCGCGACGGGCGACATGGTCACCTGATGCAAGAACCTGCGGTAGTTTCGCCATTTCTCGTCGTAAGGTAGTAGTAGAAGCATGTGATCATCAGTCAAGAAGTGCGAGGACGCCGGCGCATAGTGCCGATCGCTGTAGATGTTGCCCCGCTGACGGAGGAGTTCGTTGGCGGCGGCCTCGGTGCCGAGGAGGACGTGCTCCTGGCCGCCCGGGAGGGCAAGGCGGACGACGGGGCCGTGCTCCTTGATGAGCTCGTGAAAGGCCAGCCAGGAGTGCACCGGCGGGATCGAGAGGAGGTTGCCGATGAGGGGTTTGGGTTTGGGGCCTGGCGGGAGGGTTGTCCCCGGCGGAAGGGTCGGCTTCTTCGGGCTGAGGACGAGGTAGAGGATCGCGAAAAGGATCGCGGCCCCGGCGGTCAGGTATGGGTCGACGAAGCTTTGGAGCAGGAACATGATCACCGAACTGCTATGCTGGATGTTCACGGTGATTGTGCATGGCTCGGTGGTCCGAAGACTTCCCAGGCAAGAGGACGAAGATGGTCAAGGTCTGCCGGGCCTCGAGAACTTCTTTAAGCTTTCGCGTTTCTTTGTTTCGTGAAAGACCCCGCAGTGATAGCAGCCCGTCATATCGGTCAAACCCCCACTCGTTTCCGCGGTATGCCAATGGGAGCGAGCTTTTTACAATCTAGCAGCCAAGAACATGGTGTTATAATATCTTTAGCGCACGCGAGCCATGCTCACCTGGCCCTTACCGACACTAGGTTCGGCTCCTTTGTTCGCTAGAGGCTATCTACCGGCCGTTACGGAAGGACTTCTTGTTCCAAAGCCTCGGTCATGGGAATTGCCTCCTCGTTGCGTCCGTAGCAGCTGTTTCTATGCCGGATCCGGCTTGCTATGGAAGCTGTGAGCTTTCAGGCTCTGGAATGTTCCTTCGAAGAACCGCTGCGCCAAGGTGGCACAGCAGCAAGTGCCGACATGTACAAACGAACGGCGGGGAGCAATTGATTCAGATAGTCTGACGTGATTCGGCGGAACTCGGGCGCATCCAGCTGCGAGAGTTCCTTCTCCCCGCTTCTGTGCCTAATAACCACTGCGTCGGGTTCGTGGCCTCCATATCTCTAATCGCGCTGTTACCAATCTGTTCTAAGATTGCTACGCCTCCACGCATTGATTGAATAGCGGTGGTAGACGGCATCCCACAAAGTTACCGATATCACCGCTATCCCACCGGCCCTTGAGGACTTGAGATCGCGATCTGAGTCATTGCGGCGTGCTTTTCTACGACGACGGGATTGCCGTCCCTCGATCGATTTCTTTCTACTTTGGACCCTGCTTACTTTGTTGTTATATTTTGTCAGAGTTTTCATCGCGATCTTTGGACTCTGGGACTGATCATGCTTCGGGTTGACCGGAGTCTCGTGCATCGACATATGGATGCTGACCCGGCATGTACCTATAAGTGCGATGAGTGCCGAAGCCACGTTCACACTCGGCAGCCTCTGACAGTTGAATCTTTGGCTCAACTGCCTTGCCTTGACTTCATTGAGTCCTCGAAGTGTATTGACACTTAAAACCTGTAGGGAGGCTGCGATTGAACATCCAAAAATGGCGTGAAAAGTCCGGTATCAAAATTCTCAGTTACCTATGCAGCTACCCAAACTACTTAATTCGCTGCGATGAAGAAGCCTAGAGACTTAGTGGTTTCGCTCCAAAAAATTGACATGAAGAGTAAAAAGGAACGCGAAAACAGGTACTAAGTTACTGAAGATTCAATATTGGTTCAAATGACTGCACAGGCTCCATGTCTGATTCAAGATGCATATGAAGCAGAACAAACGTCTTTACCTCCCATCCGTACGATGCTCCGTGAACAGAAAAATGGAGGGACGGGGGGCAGTCATATATTAGGCGTTGTTGCTCCATGTCACTAAAACAGACGTCGCACTTATGATGGCCAGGAGAGGTCATGGTTTTTCGCGCACAGTGTTCGGCGTGGCTTTCAACGAGTTAAGTTTTCTCTTTATAGATATCCGTAGGCATCCGTCAATTAATCGGTAATGTACGTGTCGGAACGGCAAGGCTGATAAGGAGCAATGGGCAGGTATCGTGGGCTGGCTGGCGCCTGCCCTGGGCGAAGTGGGACAACCGGCTTAGTCAGCACGGCCGGTTAAGGTGGGGCAACCACCCAGGCCGTCCCCACCTACTTCGATCGGCCCCTGCCCACAATGTAAATAGGAAGAAGAACAACAACAGCAATTATCACGGACATCGACGTGGTTGTTGCCGAAGATACACCCTCATGAGGACTCATGAGAAAATGTATCACGCCTGTGATACCAACAGTACGATACAATTTCCATAATCGAGTCATACACCCGCAAAATACGGATATCTTCGGTATTCACACGTCTACTAATGCAACGGAATTAGGTTTTAGGGCACTTTGCCGGGGTATAGTCTATTTTTTATTCTTTTTTACGGGATTATTGATGCGACTGCTAGGTCGTCGTTCTTTACGATCTCTTTCCCTTAGCTCGGATGGCCTGTAGCTGAGCCTTATCCCTCCTCTGGACTATGCCCTTTATTACTTTAGGTTAGATAGGGCAAGTCGTATCGAAGGCGGCGTAAGGCCCGTTATATGATAGGTATTTAAAGGGGTAGTCGTAGCTATCGTGACCCTTAGTGCCGCCGTAGGGTGCCCGGTGTTGATTGGTTGTGTGGGAAGGAGAGCTGTATTTGAGGCATCTCTTCCTTCCAGTGTACGTTCGTTTGCTGTGAAAGCCGCCGTAGCGGTGGTATTGAGGAGACCTCTTCTCCTTTGGGAACTATAGGTTTATAAAAACGCTGGCTCCTATTAAACGGAGGCGTCTTGGTAGTTGCTTTACGGCTTCCACCTTGAACCGGGCTATTACCGTGCCTAGTCTTTCGACTTCGTTTCTCCTGGAGAAGTGTGCTTTTTTAGGCTTAAGTTTTGTTAAGACCTAGATCTCTTTAAGGAGCTCTTCGGTCCTGATTTCTAGCTTAGTATTGGTTATTAAATAATACCTAGTATAAGGGACGTTTACGATATAAGCTCGGATCTAGGTATCACGTTGCTTGATCGTTTGCGCCTGGAGAAGGGTAGCGATCTATTCTCTATTATTTAGTAGGACTTTTGCGCTATCTATTGACGAAGGTAGGAGTGCTAATCCTGTCTTGATATGGTCGATCCCCTTGAGGGCTTCTCGAGCTTGGTGTTACGCCCGCCGCAACTTGTCACTGTGGGCGCGTAGCTATATAATGCAGAACAAGGGACAATGATGCCGGAGTCATCATCATCGAAGCTTTTGCTTTGTGCCACAGTTGGTTGCCTTGTCCAGCTCGTAACACTTGGGGACTTAGCCTTTCCCGGACGAAGATATATATATCGTAAGCTTTGTCGTTCTAAAGCGGGCTTTTAGGTAATAGACGTGCGAAGACGTATAGATCTGTTGGGCAGCGATTATCAGGTAGGGGGTCAATGGGATGTATTGATGAGTATGAAGAACGAGTGGCTATGGGAATATCCCGACTATCTATATAGTGAGTAGAAGACCCTTTATACTGGCATATCCTTGGCAAACTTAGTCATGCTTGTGTAAGACTATATTGTCTCATAGGCATAGTGTGACAATCGTTGTAACGAGTGTACTGGGATGGGCCTGACAAGATCCTTTAAAGCCGCCCGGTTTATAGCTTATTTTGCGGCTTATTTTGTAGCTTATTTAGTCAGCGTTGGTTTATCCTGTTTTCTGGACAGTGGCTGGCTCACCGCCCCCGTGTATAAACGGACTAGGGGCGGCTAGTTCTGGGCTGTGTGTAAAGGATGCCCTTGGGGACTCAGGTTAGTCTCGCTGGGTCCTGTGCTAACAGCATATATAGACCTTGTTAGACCACGTTAATGCCGGGTTGAACGCTGTTTCTCCTCCTAAAGCTCTCTCTTCAAGGATTCGATCTTTATTAAACAGTCTTTTAAAAACTATTCCCTCTCGGCGTCTCGACGTAGGAGGTCCTGGACAAGATTTGAAACCTTGTTAATCTCGTTTTTAAGTTTAGAATTGTCCTGGTAGTTGACCTACTTAACTATTCTGACCTTTACAGTCGGCTTCCGGACTCGTTCCGACCGCCGAGATATACCGGCGTTCCCGTGAACCGTGATCGATAGCCCTATATCTAGGGAGACTGCTATAGTCGTGGAATTTAGCTCGCATGGGCTAATAAGAGATGATAGTGTAGTGGGCCGTAGCACTCTATAACCTTAACAATTGCTAATAGTGGGTACCTTTCGAAGCGTTAGCCTTGAAGCTTAACCTTGTTGTATTAACCCAAATAGATGTTACAACCCAACATGCATAACAAGGCCAGGGGGCCCGCCCCACAGGCCTGCGGCGGCTATCTACCTGATATACGCAGAGAATCCGGGAACTCAGGTGACTCCTCATGGAACGGAAGAACTATGGAACAAGTCACGTGACGATAAGGAAAGTGAGCACACGATAAGGTGATCACAGTGATCACCCAAAGTGAGCGCTCACCAGTATCCACTTAGTGATCACCAACGAACATGGTGATCAGGCAACAAAGGATATGTTCAGGATCAGGACTTGTATATAGGATGGACTCGAGCCGGGCTCTAGGACAGACTTCCCATAGCTTCTTCAGCAATTAACTTCGTATCAGGATTAACATCCGCTTTCAGCTATCACCTTGACAAGACTACGATTGATCACCGAAGCCATACCTTATCCTACGATTGACAGACATAGCTTCCCTGAAGCTATCCTCGACTACGATTACTGTTACCAGTTCCGCAGCCTCAACTTCTGCAAACATACCCCTACGACTAGCTGGCCGTAACAATAGAATGGAGCAAGGAAAGGTGCTATCCCATCGACTGCGAGATGACGTCGGTACATAGCTACGTACCGTTCATGAGAGGAAGCAGCAAATCACACATTATTCCATGATATTCCGATTAGAATCCGTTTTAATTCCGGCCGATGCACCCAATCGAATAATTCGGCTATTGGAGAAAACTGGAGGCTTATGTACCGACGTCATCTCGCAGTCGATGGGATAGGAACAAATGAGAGAATCACGTGATGGCGCACGTGATATGATGATTACAGAGTGCTGATGCTATTCCTATTTCGTGACACTATCTAACTCGATACATACCTCGAAAGGTACCCACTGTTAGTAATTGTTAAGGTTATAGAGGGCTACGGCCCACTGCACTATCATCTCTCAACATCAGCCCATACGAGCTGAATTCCACGACCATGGCGGTCTCCCTAGATGTAGGGCCATCGATCACGGTTCACGGGGACGCCGGTATATCTCGGCGGTCGGGACGAGTCCGGAAGCCGACTGCAAAGGTCAGAGTGGTTGAGCAGGTCAACCACCAGGACAATTCTGAGCTCAAAGACGAGATC